GGAAATTAAATGTCGAATGTTGTTTGTTCGTGTGTAGACGTGAGAAAATATTGTCTACATTTTGTTTCAGAAATAAGATTTATCCGAACGCCAATTCGAACAGAATATGGCACAAAATCAAACTGATATACATGGGTTAGTGTGAAAAATGCTCTAGCCTCAACCCCGAGACACTGAATTTTGGTAACACTTCAGGCACCAGCCAATGACCCTAGCTAGCTCCCACACACCTCCAAATGGATGACACACCAAGACTGAGATTACATTAATTATGGTCACCACCTTTTGTCTTACAACTTGCTCAATATTAGTTGTTCTTGTTAAATGGAATTAACTAATTTGCATATTCAACTTTTAGAAAAGAAAAAACTGTTTTGTCATTCATTTCCATTTTTTTATGATCTTTATGAATAAGGAGTTATTTCGTTTTTGGCATTTATAATTACATGGCTTAGCTATACAAATAAATCTATTATCTTCTTTGAATGTGTTAACAACCTTAGCATTTAGATCACGGCAATGTATAAGAGGAAGTAATCAGTGGTGATATTTTTAATATTGCATTTTTCTAAAGTTGCAACAAATCGACATTTATATTTATGAAATATATACCCTTTTTTGGTTTTGTCCGAATAAAATAATAAAATTACTCGAATTATTTTGTTTAATAATTATTTTCGACATTTTTATTGAATTTAAAGAACAGATCCTTAAACATTCGTAGCGCAGCAGAACAGAGGAAATGAATTTAAACCACATAACCCCGGGTGTCATTGCTAGTATCATATAATAATTGTGCTTGCCTCTCTCTTAGTTCGCACGACACTTACGCCCTGCCAATATCTCATAAATAATGGACTATCCGATTTTGATCACGTAGAAAGGTAAAAATGTATTTCAAAGACTCTACTTGGTTATAGAGAAATAAATAAAGATAGGAGTATTTAACGTCTCCTGCTAATACCCTATAAATAATGAACTCTTCCCTTTTGATCGATTGCGTGAGAAGACATATCAAAGACGCTACTTAGTTTCAGTGAGAAAATGAAAGAAAGAAGGAAATATAGAAGTGTTTAACGTCTTTTCTAAATGGAAAATGTCGTCAATTTGAAATCTTTTCATTTGTATTGACTTCTTAAAATAACACCAGCATTCATATTTAGCATTGTTATTGCAATGCTAGAGTTGTTAATCTCAAATATTTAACGCTGCGACAGGGGAATTTCTAATTTATTGTCGTAGATCTCGCCACGAGCTTATTCAATCATTACTGAAGTATTAAGAGTCATCATGAATTTCAAATAGGAAATCCGTGAAATTTTCGCGGGTTAAAAACAGTATATATATATATATATATATATATATATATATATATATATATATTGAATTTGTAGGTCTGATGAATTGGATCGTATTTACGATTCCAATGGAATAAATTATGACCATGGAATATTAGTGTTTAAGCCTTTTTATTATATCCTTACTCTGTCCTAAACATTGAGTTCTACCTGGATCCTTCCTTTTGGAACATTTTTTCTGAAAATATATACATGTATGGGAATTTTTTATATATATTTTGCATATGTATGTATATTTTCCACTAATATTATCTATCTATATCTATCTATCTATCTATCTATCTATATATATATATATATATATATATATATATATATATATATATATGTTGCAGGAAAGAAAGTGTTTGATTATTGTAGGAACGAAATGCAAACACTGCTATGTGCGATTTCAAATGCTTATTCACAAAGTACGATGTCACTGTCGCCTACCGTCTAACGATTGCGAGAGAACACATGAAACTATAAGTTGTGGTGGCCACCGTTCGCAGAGAATTTATTGTGAAATATTAAGGCTCTGCCAGTTAATATGGTTTACCATATATATATATATATATATATATATATATATATATATATATATATATATATATATATATTTATTCAAAATTATAACATAAGTATGTTATAACATCACTACAAAAGTAGCCAATTTGTTTCAACACTTTTGGTATCTTATCATGTGACGGTATTGATTGCGAAATAAAGAAATCTTTATTATTTGCTCTACTTTTGTATTAATCACATTTTAAAAATTAGTGGTTTTGGTTATCAGAATTTTATTCCATTTATACCAACCCTGTATTTGTATATATATATATATATATATATATATATATATATATATGTATCTGTGTGTATGTGTGTGTGTGTAGTACATCTATGCGATTTTAAATGCTTAAACACGCGCGCATTTAATATGTGGTATGCAAGTAGGCGTAGCTTTGATAAGTGTTAAGCATATTATGTCAAACATGAACCTCGAAAGACTACAATGCTTTGTACTCTCAATGCAGCGATAATTTGTGTACAGTTTGTTTTTCGTTCCTACAGTAATCAAACACTTCCTTTTCTGCAATCTGCTGCTGTAGTCTTATCGAACAGATAGATGAAAAAAAAATTCTTTGTCAAGGGGTCAGTGCTGCAGCACTTTAAGTAGATAAACTTGTTGCCATGAGAAACGGAACTCAAAGTGGCTGGCCATGTAAAACTGGAAATCTTAATCAGGCTGCCATAAGTGCTTCGGTTGGGAGCTTAGTCTTTAGTATTTGAAGAGACACGCATACACTTGTTTGTTTTTTTTTTCCTCTCTCTCTCTCTCTTTCTTATTAAGATATATGAACATACAGGATGCGATGGGTAAATTGTCGCCACGTTATATTTTTAATTTTGCGCATGTGTGTTGTTTGTTTTTTATTTTATCGAATGCACAGTAAAGGAGCGTCAGTTGGGAACAATTTGTGAGAAAAAAAAAGCACCATGACACAATTCACTCCGCCAGAAATTTGGAAACGACATGCTGTACTGCTTGACATTTGGGACGGAATCTCCAATACAAACAATTCAGAGTGTTTAGGTATCAATCTGAGGACAATGAAGTCTTATCATGATTACGAAGGTGTTTGGAGTAATCATTAGTGATGGCGTCGTTATGCCTTCATTCATCTTTCCACTGGGTCTCAGACATAACACATATCAAGTGCCTTGAGGAGGTAGTGCTTCTCTGGGTCAAGAGGATGTCCTCTGAAAGACCCTATGTCTGGGAAAAAACTCTGCACCATGCCACACAAGCATGGGAACCCAGTCATAGCTGTTAGACAATTTATGGGACAACATCACCCCTTACATCTAGCCGCATAACTCCCCAGACTGTAACCCCCTTGTGTGGGTCGTAATTGTGTGAAATGTTACAATTTTTGGATACATTATGTAACTAGTGAGCTAGCCCAAATGACTTGACTCACTTTATAGTCCACCAATAAAAGATTAAGCAATCAGAAGACGTAGAACATTCAATCCGTCGTGTATAAAGGCGGCCATTTTGTTTACTCTATCCGAATGTCCAGTGCCAGCTTGTCAGGCGAAGAGGAACAGAAGGATGAACTATGCTCTGCTACTTTTACCAAAATATCCACTGCTAACCTGAACAACGCTTTCCTACTATCTTCGAAATATTCACTGCTAACCTCTGGATTCTATACTCGAAGACGACCGTCATCATGAACAACATGAAAGACCAACAAAACTCCTTGCAACACCAAAGATGAACTGAAGGCAAGGATTATGGCAGCATTCACCAATTTATACAAGACCATCCCGAAGTGTTGTAGGAGATTCCGAACTCTTCTGAAGGCTGCGGTTGCCAATGGGGATTTTATTGAATAAATTTTCTAAGTATTTCAAGATATTTTTTTAGGTAATTTTGGTAAATATATCTGTTAAATTGAGATATCAGTGTTATTTTTCTTTTTGGGGCCATCTAGACGATGATTTATCCATCGTTCCCTATATATATATTTAAACGAACACATACATTCTTATTATGTTGTCACCAGCCGAGAAATTTAACTGTTTGGGAAGTTTTATAACAAGGAACGGAAAATATGACACCGAAAGATACTTTCCAAAAGCTAAAAAAATATTAAGAAACTGTTGTGGTGTCCTCCTTCTAAAGAGTCTGTGTTGGACTCTTCCGCCTACTAATAAGATTAGTAAGAGAGAAGTCCTTGGGGAACAGTCGAAAAGCTAGAACGCTGGGTCAACCGACACATACTCACTAGTCGTGTAATACTTTTCTGTTGTAGTTACTGTTAATATATGATATATCTGTAACGTTTGTTTTGATATTTCTTTAACCATTTACTTGGTCACAACAGAAACCGAAACAGAAACATTTCGTTCCCGGTCTAACCTTCACGGCTAGAACCTGCCATGCCACTTATATTTTAGCCAACCATCCTCATTTCCTCCGGATTCCATCGTTGAGAAGAATGTTTCACTCGAGCAGCTTTCCGCGAACTGCTGCTCTGTGGAATAGACTCCCAAGAGGATGTTTCCTTGATCATTACAATCTTAACCTTTTCAAGTCTAGAGTTAACCGTTATCTTCTTCTATCTGTATAAACTACCCCTTAACGAAAATCCTCTACCTCGAGTAGCTCCCGGGCCTTGTAAAAAGCGAACATTACTGTAAAGAATAGAAAGGAAGAAAGAACTTGTTTAAAGAAAATGGAAATAAAAAGAAATATATTTAAAATCTGAAAAAGACTGTGAAATTTCCAGTGTTGATCCTTTCGTTTTCTATGGTTTACCAACCCTTTGCAAGTTAAATAAAACCAGAAAATTAGATTGGAAGAGTGGAATGTAGAGTTTTTTTATTGATTAATTTGCTTTCTACGATTTATCAACCCTTTGCAGGTTATTTAAGGTCAAAATATTTTCAGATTGCAAGAATGGGGGGGTGATGATAATGGTTTAGTGATATAAGTTTTACTAATTAATCCATATCTAGGGAGAAAAGAGGTGGCTTCATACCTTTCCCAAGGGTATATAAGTGAATATAACGAAGCCAACAGGAGTTGGAACTCGGCTCTCCGATGAACAATTCCGAGCCATTATCCCTTACACCATCCACACATCTAAGCTTACAGCACCTGATATTCCCAAACAGTCACCCATGTAGGTACTGACCATGCTCGATGTTCCTTAACTACGGTGCTTTTACGGGAACTCGTGTTTAAATGTGATGTGGCCGTAAGCCTGAGGATAGACGAGGGATTGGTGAATTTGATGCTCACTGGGGATATTGAAAACAAGAGAGATAAAGGGAAGCTGCGAATAATCTACCTAACGATAAATGGTAGACAGAACAGGAATTAGGATGGATAGCAAAAAGAGAAAAGCTACTAAGAGCTCCAAAGGATAGAAAGTTGTGGAGAGCTATGATCACCCTTGTTCTGAAGCGACTCGACACATACTAGACGATGTAATATCAATCCTCTTATAGTGTGGTGAATACTGGAGAATTTCTTCACAGATGAAGAGAAGACCTGAGGCAATATAAATATGGTTTTATCAAAGAATCCTGGGTATATCATGGACGAAACATATGAGGTAAATGGTAAGGTAAAAGGTAAACAATTTAGATAAATGAAAAAACAAAGTACACTACTTAGAACCAAAAAGCGACAGTTGAACTATCTAGGACACATAATGAGGAAAGAGGACTTTTGACATTTACCGGACATTTTAACAGCAAGAAGGACAGAAAGAGGCAGCAAGGAAACCTACTTAATGAGCCTGTGTAAATTAATGACAGACTGGGAAGGATAGTAAATGGAGAACGGATAGGGAGTTGTGAATGATGACGCTCATTCTGAAAGGACAGGGAACATGAAAGAAGAACATTTACGCCATTTTGTTGCTTATCAGAACATTAACTATATCGACAAAGGTCCTATCTCTGGTATGAAGTACTCGATTCCCCCTGATATATATATATATATATATATATATATATATATATATATATATATATATATATATATATATAAGCAAATATATGGATATAGAATAGATCCGACAGTATGAAGAAAAATACGGAAAAACAAACAAAAATTTATATGCAATTATGCTGTTTTTAATGTTAATATAATTTCAACGATGGACATAAGTTTAAGTGATTGTAATAATGTCCATCATTTGACATGTTGAATTGATAATTTAATTATATTTTATATAAATGTCCTGAAGATGGTTTATTAGAAGAAACGTCCGACGTTGGATTATATTGACATTAAAAACAGCATAATTGCATATAAGGATTTTTGTTTGTTTTTTCCGTATATTTTTCTTCTATATATATATATATATATATATATATATATATATATATAGCAAATTATAAACAATATCTATCTATCTCAATTCCCACATCACTTTTCTGTGTGTGTGTGTGTCTATGTGACATCCATTGTTTTTGAGAGGCTATCGATCTGCGCGTAGGCACTTGTTTTTTTTTAGGAAACCATCACTTAACGGATATTTTCGGAATAAATTTCGGCGTGGCTAAAACCACAAAATATTCAGATGTTTTCTTTAAACAATACAGAACCGTCACCTTTTAACAGCTATACTTGTTATATAGGAATAAAGTGTCGAGACCGACACTGGAGTTTGAACACAGATCACCAGAAAGCAAACACAGGCGATCCCATTTTGAATAAGTAGATCACGTGATGGTAAAGGAAACGCATAAATAGAAATTAGCGCGGTGTCTAAGTGATCACTATTTCTACACTATCCTCTATTACTATACGGATCACTATTTCTACACTATTACAATACGGATCGCTATTCTCTATACTATTCACTATACTACTTCTCTATACTGATCACTATATGGATTACTATTCGGTGGTTACTTTCGATCGAGTATTATCGAGCAAGTACTATTAGTGCGAGTGCTGTTCGAAGGTGTCTGACACCAGTATTGTTCAACGGCGTTACTATAGTTGTATCAGTGATTACAAAGTCTCTACTACAACGAGCATTACGAAAGTGACAACGAGTATTCGCTGTCATTACAAAAGTTCCAACGAGTGTTCGTTGACATCACAAAAACACTTAAAAGGCATGATATTGATATGCAATGGGAGAGGTAATTGTTGGAACTTTTGGGTACCCTGGTGTACTAGTGAGCCAGCCAAAATGAGCTGACTCATTTTATAGTTCACCAATAGAAGGGTTAACCAATCAGAAGACTCAAAATATTCAATGCGACGTATAGTTATGGCGGCCATGTTTTCCCGAATATTCACTGCCAGCCTTTGATATCGAAGACTGAAGAATTACGGAACAGCTGTTGGTGGTATTGGCGATATAGTCAGATTCAGTAGAGTGTCTGACTCGTGAGTGTTAATCTTTAACGTTATTTCATTGAACCGATTACGTACAGCACTGTATTCTATATTCATAGACTATGGTGAACATGGTCAGCAGTAATACTCAGATAAAAGATAAAGCTCATTAGGGGAACTTTCAAGGAAACTTCTGATTTTAAATCTTCGTTGCCTTGCAGCCATACTCATACTGTCAATCTCATTATCTTTCATGAACCATCTTTAATATAATCACGTTCGTGTGTATGTCAACTGTCAAAACATTTCAAAGGGAAAACGCAGACCCGCCTAAGGAAAGTCACTGTTATTTATAATGAAATGTAATAAAGATTGTTTTTAAATGCGCACTTAACAACTTACAGTTTTCTGATCATCTCTATTGACTTATTCCTTTTTTACGGTTCATCAACATTTTGCAAAACCAGAAAATAGTTTTAGATTGAAAGAATCTTTTTTTGGTGGGGGGATAAAAATAGTTTAGAGATACAAGTCTTACTAATTAACCCATAGCTGGGAGGAGAAGAGGTGGATTCATGTCTCTCCCACGGCGTATTTACGCTTAAGTGAATAGAGCGAATCCAACTGAATTGGAATTCGGCTCTCCGATGAACAATTCCGAGCCATTATCCATCACACCACCCGTATATCCAAACTTACAGCACCTGGTATTCCCAAGCAGTCACCCATCTAGTCATTGGCCTGACTCAGCGTTCGTTGCTTAACTTCAGTGATCGTACGGGAACTGATGTTTCAACTTGATATGGCCATAAACCGGCCGCCGCCTAAGGAAAGTCACTATTATTTATAATGAAATGTGATTAAATTTTAAATGTTTATCGTTGTTGTTTACAATTTATCAACCCTTTGCAGGTTATTTAAAGGCAGAAATATTTTTAGTTGGTAAAAATTCTTTTGGAGGTTATAATTATTTTCTGATACAAGTCCTACTAACTCACCCGTAGCTGGGTAGAGCGAGAGGTGGATTCATATCTTTCTCGGCGATATTTGCGCGTAAGTGAATATAACGAACCCAACTGGAATTGGAACTCGGCTGTATGAATCCCAACTTCGAGCAGTTATTCATTACACCACCCGTACTTTCAAGCTTTCAGCACCTGGTATTCCCAAGCTGTCACCTGTCTAAATTACTGACCAGGCTCGACGTTGCTTAACTTCGGTGATCGTACGAGAACCAATGTTTGAACGTGATATAGCCGTAAGCCTCTGATCATGTAGATAATACAAGGTTATTTCTTGCCTCAATGAACTAACGACAATTATTCATCAGCTGGAATCGATACATCACTTCATCTCTTAGTGATGAAACATACAACGACAAAAACAAAACAGGAGGAAAAACAAACGTCACTGCAATGTTGTATGTCATACCTACAAAGAATTAGTGATATAAAGAGGACAATTTAATCTGTTTGAAGATTTTTTTAAGGTCCAGAGGTTTGATAGTGTGATGATGCGTAATTAATGAGGAAAAAGAGGCGTTTATTTGCACAACAATAGCAAGAAAGTTTATTGTGGTTATTTATAAACATCTAGCAAATAGTATGAATAGACTGTTTCTAGTTGAGTGGTTATGATATCACATCAACAACTGGTCTTGAATGAGTTCAAACAGGGGTCAGAATTTAGATCTGAACAATGAGTGTCGAGGAGTTTTTGACCCAACACAAGGCTGAAGAACCATTCACCGTAGAGGGTTACTTATAAAATGGTTATAATGAATGGGGTGTGTGATCTTAATAAAAGAGGAGGTGACAGGAAGTGACGATTATGAAGATATGAAAGATAGAAAACAATTGACCTATGATTTGAAGAAGTTAATATTGCATTGTTCAGGAAGCAGGAGCCTGTTCTACAAAGCAGCAGTTCTTGGCGGCTGAGTGGAACGTTCTCCTTACATTTGGAATATAGAGAAAATTAAGGTGATCCGATGTAACATGGCGTGTTCTTAGTTATAAATGTCTGAACTTGTGGAGCTAAAAAATGGAGCTCATCTGAACATTTGCCATGGAAATAACAATAGAATACAGAAAGGCTTGCGATGCTGCGTCTTCGAGAAAAATGGTGCAGAGTAGAAAAGCAGACTCCTCGCATAACACCTGGTAAACGATTTCGAACTATTAAGGCTGGGAAGAGAATGTCGAGCAACTCCATTCCATATATGGCACCAATCCTCCATTTTTCGTTTTGTAAAGATAAAGCATGGCATAAAGAGTCAGGTACCTGACGAATCCGAATGCAACTGCTTAAAGAGGACAAAAAAAAAAAAAAAAAAAAAACCGATGATCTTTTGAATCTCGCATTTATCTTAGTTGATAAGATCCTAGGGCCATCTCTGTAAAACTGATTTGCCGGAGTTATAGTTCATTTGCATTCATTTTTTTTTTAAGTAAGGAAACTCTTTAGTAGTATATTTAGAATTAGTATCAAACAAGATTTTTGCTAAATATTAACATTCTGAAGAAACTACAAAGTTAGGTTTAAGGTTTCACACAGCGTAGCGGATAAAAAAAAAAAAGTTAGTTAATCGAATCTAAATATCTGAAGGAAGAGAGTGTTGGATAGGGAAAAAAAAGGTTATGTTCACTAGTTCAGTGGAAGAGACAGGAAAAATCAGAAGGACGGATTAGTTAGGATTAACTGACACAAAACCTCATCCAGCGTAGAGAGTGAATGAAAACAGTTTACACCCGTGGACTGAATAAAGGGTTCGATTTGAAAATTTCGGAAGATTATCAACAAGGCGGATACCATAGTCGAAACATTGTAACGATAATCAGTGATGACCTTAGGGTTGTTGGCACCCTGGGCATGCTGAACTTCGGCACCTTCACAAGTATAATTTTTTAAACGGAAAATTTCGAATAATGAGTGTATTACAATATACAACTTAATACAAGCTAAAGAAAACATTCATTATCCTACGTAAACATTGTTCTAGACTTTAGATCTGCAAATCTTTTCATGGTACTTTCTACAACTATCTTCTTAAGATCATTTTCTATAGACAATATATCTAAATAATTTAATCTGTCTTGAGTCATGGACGACCGCAAATATGTCTTTATAAGCTTTTGATCTGGAAGATCTCACACATATTACACAGCGGCATGATGGCGCTCCTGGTGACTGCTCGAGTTGCCAGTACCTTGAGCCGGCCCTGATGAGAATAAAGTATAAAAGGCAATGCGTGAAAACATGTCTATAATAATGATATTTCAGACATTTGTAAGATTTTTAAATTATATAATTTCTTTTTTGCTCCCAATATGTTATTGTTTGGTTGTCTGGTAACGTTGTTTTGGTACAACAAATGTGACAGTTAATGTTTAGCGGAAAAATAAGTCGATATGAAAATAAAAAGAACAAATTGAAAATTAATCGAACACTCTGTCGCGTTGATGAACAGATGTTGGAAACGAGTTTATTTTTGGTTGTTTGCACGAGAAAGCCAGGTTTCGATTACAAAAGTTCTTGATAGGTATACCAAGTTAAACAGGCTGGTGAAATATAATCACCCTACTTACATATCAATTAAGTACCATAAGATTATTAAGTGATATCTATCTATTTATCTATCTACTTTCTGCATCTTACAGCTCTAAACGACTTTTGACCACTACTCTTTTATTCAATCATGCAAAATCATTAGGTCAGTTACTTGTAGTTTCCCTCTACCCCACCTTCCTTCAATCTGTCCTGCGTGGGTTAAGAGTAAGCAGTTAAAAGTATATATATATATATATATATATATATATGTGTGTGTGTGTGTGTGTGTGTGTGTGTGTGTGTGTGTGTGTGTAGTACTTGAAAAGTTATTTTAGTGGGTACGCGTTTTTGAGTCAGTCATTTAAGATCATGTCTCTTTCGATCCATGACTCACTAGGAAGAAGATTCTTCCTGGAGTAGGTTATAATTCTTTCTGTGGTAGACTGATATTTACAGAACCCAGTCTATCCTGTTATTCAACCCATAACTGGAGGAAATTTATATTCGATTCGTTCTTATTTCATATGGATATATATATATATATATATATATATATATATATATATAGAGAGAGAGAGAGAGAGAGATAGATAGATAGATAGATAGATACATAATATCAAAACCGTAAGTGGAAAGGATAATCCAAATAGGTCTTTTTAATATAAAATATTAAAAAGATAGATCCATAAAGAGAGCTCAATGTATAGTATACAGAACAATATGATATACATAAAAGGAAACGATGATACGTTAAGTTTTTCCTTTGATATCTATATATATATATATATATATATATATATATATATATATATATATATAAGTAATAGCAGACCCAGGTCTGAATTGTACCATTTCGCGAATATTCAGGTCGGTAGGCACAAATAAATAAATATACAGTTTAATAAATAAATTGAACGGCTACTCAAATATTGGTATTACTAAAAAAAAAAAACAACCTTTTAGTGGTACAATCTGTCGCATTAATTAAATTTAAGTAAAATATCAATTACTTCTGTAGAAATTGACTTTGTTTACATTCGCGCGGTTATAAGATACCATTTGATTGAGTCGGTTTAAAGCAAGTCGGATCTGACGACGGTTTCTCCAGCGAAAGGTAACGCAGGTTTGAATCCTGCAGGAGGTAGCGTACCCTTTTCTTTAATAAGATCCAAAACAGTATAATATATCTATTTAGAACAAGTCTGTTCCAAGTTAGAGGGGTTTGAGACACATGAATGGACAGACAGAATTTATAGTTTATTTATTTAGAAGGCACGTCCCATGGCTGTTCATAACTAAACTATGTTTTTTTTGTGTGTATCTACAGCCTATGTAATAATATCTGTAACAGGCCCCAAACAGAAAGAAGGCCAGTGGTATATTTGGAACCCAGCCGAGTGTTTCTGGAACCAGCTTTGTGTGGGGTTCTTACAATAATAAACAAACTGTAAAGTCTTATTTACATAGATAAACGAACGTAATATCAATATTTTTTTTATCCCGCCTAATTAAGGAGGGGATTTGTGATATCTTCCGGGAATAAATCATCGCGTGTCAAACGTAGCCTTTCGTAAAGTGTTGCAGCAATACTTGTATATCACATCTGTCAGGAGAGATTCCAGATTCACTATTTATTCTTGTGAATTCATACAGCTCCCACCCGTTACCTTTACACATTCACTGCTCGCTTTCTCAACACCTTGTTGACATGTGGGATTTATCAGCTCATAGGGTATCCTCCACATACACACTAGATCTTCTGCCGAAAAGGACTAGAGACGGTTTGGTCAAGTGACACGGCGTCAGTCTTCCACGGTACAGTGACAATATCTTCATGTAAAGTGTGGTAAGTACTGTGCTGTCAGTAATAATACCCTCGCTAGTCGACGACTACGAATGGTTATGGTGAAATAACCGTCTCCATACAGGAAACATTCATTATTCATTCAATGAACTCTTATTGCTATTGTCGAGTGAAATTTATAATTTTTTTCTTAAATCAGTTTTTTTTCATTAGACTTCTCACGGCCGCTAACTGTTGTAGCTCTTGTTAGTACTGTTTTGGATAGTGTGGAAAGTTGTAACAGGGTCGTTAAGTTGTGTGTTGATTTAGTATTTACCCCATTGTTATATGTATTTTTAGTAGTAGTTAATAGAGGAATCCTTTTTACATTTTTATGCTAAAAAATGTAACGAATAAAAACGTACAATGATAACAACAATAAGACTTGAGACACGTGTTGATATTAATAACAAGAATGTGTATTTTTCTTGTCAGTTACAATATTGGTATTGTGTGCGTTAAAAATGCTCTCAGTGTTATTGTCTCTTTTGGTTCTTTAAAAGTTTGTGATTAGTTGTTTTCGTTTGTCCCGAGAATTTTGTTGGCGAGTATAACGTTTCAGATCATCAACTTTTCCGGAGCGATGGTCATACGTTGTTTTGTGTTTCTTTTTACTACTGCTACTGCTATTTGCTACTTTACTCTAGACTACTGTCTTGATCCTACTCTCATTACTTGCAGTGGAAGGGTTGTATTTATAATGATGAAGGTTCAGTTATTAGAATGATGAAATACCTTTCTTAGGGATGTAAATCCCTAGTGGCAAGGTTGTATTGGAATGATGAAATTTTTATCTTTATTTCAGAGATGATGAATTATCCTTATTTTATATCTTCACTGATGGCAAGGTTAGTTTAGAATTCTGGATTA